TCTGGTAATATTCTCCAATGCTGGTAAGAAATCTATGAATGCCCTGAATGATGTTATTAAGAATTATGAAAGATTTTCTGGTCAGAACATCAATACCAGCAAGAGTTTTTACATATGCGGTAAACATACCCCTAAGGCTACTCTGAATAATGTTGAAAAAAAATTCGATATTAAAAAAGGTTCTTTCCCTTTTACTTATCTTGGAGCTAATATCTATCAGGGAAGAACTAAAATATGTCATTTTCAAAACATTATTTTCAAAATTGATCAAAGACTTGCTGGCTGGAAAAATAAGTTCCTTACTCCTGGGGGTCGTATTACTCTGATCAATTCAGTGATTACCGCCCTCCCTCTCTATCACATGGCTAGTGCTATTATCCCGAAAACTATTTTGCAAAAAATTGAACAGAAATGCTCTAGCTTTCTCTGGTACACCTCTGACTTTGAAAGAAGGCAAATCTGGAGAAGATGGAATAGAATGACTTATCCTACTCCAGAAAATGGGTTGGGCTTTAGAGATCTTCTCACTATCCAAAAATGTTTTTACTTAAAATGCTGGTGGAAAACTGCTAACCAAAAGGGGCTTTGGGGTTTATGGTTTTCTAAACTAAAAAACCCCTCCAACTCTTACATTTGGAAAGGTCTCCATTCGGTTAAACACATTTTTGATAGTCTCACTCATTTAGTGGTTTGTAACGGGCATAACTCTTTTTGGAACTCTAACTGGAGTGAATTTGGCAGGCTGACAGATTATTTGCACACTCATGAGGTCTTACACCCTCACATGACCATAAGGGAAGCCTATTCTCATCCCAATTTTTTTCAGGATATTCATTCCTTGTTGCCTGAGTACATTTTTAACACTGTTTCTCAAATTGTTCACCACTTTTCTACTCATAGTGATACCATAGTGTGGACCCTTACTCCCGATGGCTGCTACTCTTTTAAGAGTGCCTATGAGGAAATCAGACTTAAACGGCCCAAAGATATCCTTACCAGTCATATTTGGCATAGGAATATTCCTACCAAAATTTCATTTTTCATGTGGAAGGTTATAAATAATTTGCAACCGTTTCAAGAACACTTGCTTCGTTTTGGTTATCATGGCCCCTATAAATGTCCTTTTTGTAATGACTTTGATACTCAGGATCATTGCTATATCTCATGTGAGTTTAGCTATAATCTCTGGTCTCATTTTGGAAATCTTTTTGATATCATCATTCAAAAACAGGATCCGCTTAACACTGTCTTACAGAAATGGTTTTCTACTCATGATGAGTTTAACAATCTTCAATGTCAGGTTGCAATTTATATATGCTGGACCATTTGGAAACAGAGAAATGCTCATCTTTTTGATGAAAAAATTATTCCCATTTCTAAGGCTATTGAATTTATCAATAAGGAGCTGCGGGACGTGAGTGTGGCCTACCCGTTTATTACCGCTGCTTCTAACCCTCCTCTTAAAGATATTGTAATCAATAAGCCGAAATTGAATCCTAAAAAGCATAACATCCAGATTATCAGCTGGGAACCCCCCCCCCCCCCCCCCCCCCCGCTGATTATATTAAAATTAGCATTGCTTTGAGAAAGTCGGACAGTGAGACCAACATGGGTCTTCTTATTCGTGATTGTCATGGTCACCTTGTTCACTACACTTCAGAAACCCATTTTCATGATGATACTACTGCCAATATCTATGAAATCCTAATCAACCTTAAATGTTTACTTAATGATAAGAATCATACCAACGTTATCATTGAATGTGATAACTTTCAGGTAATTCAGACCTTGAATGGAAAGGCACGACCAAGGTGGAAAGCGCTTGCAAATTTGGAAGCCTTTAAAGAAACGTTTCAAGATCTCAATCTAAGTTTTAATTGCATTCAAAAACCGTGTAATAGAGCTGCAAGATTCATAGCAAAGTACTTTCACTTGTTTGAATGTAACCCGAACATTTATAGTAAGTTTGTAGGCATTGTCAAGTTTGATGCAATTAGTTACCCGTACATTAGGGTACGTTTTGGCTCTAGTCCCCCTACCATGTATTTCGGCTTTTATTAATAAATTTGCTTTTTTCTAAAAAAAAAAAAGCCTATTTGATAGTTTTCTCTAAAAATATTACTACCTCCGTCCCCCTAAGTTTGGGACAAGAGAAGGTGGCACAGTTATTAATAAAAGTGGGTTTATGTGGTTGATATTGAATTGATAAAGTAGGAATAAAGTAGGAATGATTTAGAACCACACAAACTTTACCAAATAAGGTATGAGACAATCTTAGTGGGACAGACCGAAATGGTAAAATGAGACAATCATAGCGGGACGGAGGGAGTAATAACTATTTTACACAATATTCCACACTAAGTGTTTCTACTAACTAATAATAAAACGAGAAGTAAAATAAACCGTAAATTGTATAGTGTGGTCGTAAAGAAGAAGCAGGGCTTATATTATTCGGTCATAAGTTTTACCAGAGGCGTCTAATGAATTTGAAGGTCCCATTCCAAACGTATAAAACGAAGCCCCATATTAATAATATAAAAAAATCAACCTAAATATAAAATATTTATACTAATATAAATTGAATAATTATCAAATAATGTAATAAAAATTCTAAAAATCACTAAATACTTTATTTAAGTAACACAACTTATCACTCAATCAATTTGAGTAAAACTTGAATAAAAGTACTGACAAAAAAATTTATTTTATTGATTAGTACTTATATACTCCTTCCGTTTTTTTTAAATGCAACATTGGACTTTTTCCACTATTCATATGTTCTACTTTGACTCTATTTTATTTGTTAATGTATTAAAAATTGAATTTTAAAAATATTGCTAAATGCCTCTCATTTAAAAATTTCAAAATCTTATTTGTTTTAATTTTTTTACTAATAAGGAATGAAAGATATTAATAGTCAAACTTGCGAGTTGACAAACGTGAAAAGTTTACCGTTGCATTTAAAAAATAACAGAGGAAGTATATTATTACTATGTAATACTAATAATTTTAAAAAATGTTGGGGCCCCAGAAATTGGGAGGCCCTGTTCTATAGAACATGTTGAACGTGCTAAAAACCGGCTCTGAGTTTTACATAGCATACAGTCTCCATTTATACAAGAGTATGCAAGACAAAAAAGGAATAAATTAAACATGGAAAAAATTAATCATGGAAAGTAAATAATGGAATGAATATCCTTGCACATCACGTGAAATCTTCCAGCAGTTGCTTCCGGTGTATGGCAAGTATTCTATGTATGGTGCGTATCATATGGTGTGTATCACTCCCTCTCAAGCTGGAGTGTAGATCTCGAACACTCAACTTGGAGTGCGTATCACATGCTTTTTCTGAATTTTCTGAAGCCCCTCACCTTCATTATTTTTGTTCTTACATGAATGAAATATTTTTAAAATATTATACCTTCATTCCACCTATATGCGGTATTACCTTTTGTTTCAAACTTGTTACTTGCCAATCATGTTTAAAGTATTGTTATACTTGTTTTCTCAGTCTATACTCCATTACCTATGTACGTAGATCAACCCATAAATCCTCAAGAGCAATTAAACAAGGTTAGTCACATATTTTATCAATTATTTAATGAGTTTCATGCAATTAATGGTAATGTACCTCTCCCCTGAAATCAACTACCTCTTCATCTAAAGAAAATTCAATTTTCAAATCTAGATTTGGTAATCTTATGAAAAAAACTAACTTTCTTTAAACCTAATATTTTCTAGTGAGTATGAAGGAGATAACTATGACATTCTCAAATGGTGGAAGGAGAAAAATGGAATTGTTTTTATTTTATCAAAAATGGCGAAGCAAGTGTTATCAATGCTGGTGTCAACAACAGCTAGAGCTGGACTCGGGCCGGTTCGGGCCTGGGCCCGGCCGGGCCTCAGGCCAAAAAACTGGGGGCCGAGCCCGAACCGCCGGTGGCCGGTTCCGGGCCAAACCGGGCCGGGCCGGGCCAAACCGGTCCATTTTAATTTTTTTTTTTGGTTCTTCTATTTAACCCCCTCCCCCTCAACCCCAAACCACCTCAAATGGCCCAAAATACCTAATCCAACCCAAAACTTAAAACAATTTCAAAAAAAAAAAAACGGACCGAACCGGGCCCGAACCGGGTTCGGTTCGCCTAAAGCAGGGCCCGAGCCCGGACCGCCCATCACCCGGGCCGGGCCAAACCGAACCGTTGGACCCACCGGGCCCCGGGCTGGGCCGGGCCAAACAGTAACCAGGCCAGTTCCGGGTCGGGCCGCCCGGCCCGAGTCCACCCCTAACAGCAGCCCTTGGAACAAGACTTTAGTGAAGCCAACAACATCCTAACAGATTATAGAACGAGATTGAACCCACAATCTCTTAAGACACTCATTTGCTTCCACGATTGGTTGAAGGCCCAACATAGAACTAAAGAACTTTGCATCACTCCCGACCATCACTTCATGTAGGAAACGACAACATACGCTAGCAGAGATTCCAGCGATTAGCAAATGTATTTGATGTTATAAAATTCTCAATCCTCAATTGTACTTCATATTACAAATAAATATACATTTCATTTTTAATGTCTACCACTTGTTTAATAAATTAGGAAATTTTAAAAAAAAAAAAAAAACACCAACCCGACTCGAGACCGACCCAAGGCCCGGCTAAGTGCCCGGCTGGGTACCCACACCGGAACAAGTTCTGGAGCAAAACAGGTCAGTACTTGGCTTCAATTATTTAGGACCGGGATCGGACGGGCTCGGGCCCGGAACCAAACCAGACCGACCCAACTCCACCCCTAAACGTAACTTATTTTCATCATTAAAACATTACTCTCCACCCCGTAAAGGTTTTCCAAATTGATTGTTCTTGATCAATGTTAATCAACTTTGACCAATATTATTTTTTAATACAAAATTATTTTGAGTAAAAAAGTTATATTAAAATTTTCCTTATTCAAAATATTTTCATAAAAGTATAAATTGTATAAACTATATGCAAATATATTTGTATCAATACTTTGATGTTGCTATTAATGTATACAAATACTCATATATTTTTACTACATTTTATTCCGTGCATTACACAGGTGAGAATCTAGTATAATTGAATACCACGTATATAAATGAATACATCCATAATTCCTCTCTCCTATACAAAAAAGAATGCACAAATGAAACGAAATCAATCAAAAGGAAAGGGTAAGAAAGCAAGAGAGCCCAAACTTGCAGGACATTCGGACCTCTGAATTTGCACCTTTAATGCAAATAACACATCAAAGGAACAATTGAAATAGGCAAGCAACAAATAAAAGAACTTGAGGTGGGGGGGGGGGGGGGTCACAGGTTCACGGGTTTGTGATATCTTCACATCTTTAGCAAGCCAGGAGCTTCAGTCTGCTGCTAATTCATTTCTCTTTGGGGGGTGGGTGGGGGGGGGGAGATTGTTGGGGTTTAGGGATTAGAAGTCTCCTACCTAATTTTAATTTCCAATTTGGCCCTTAGCTTCTCCAAATACAGACCAAGTATTCACCCGGTTACCTGCATGCTGCATTTCGGACATTCACATTCTTTGGAAAATTTGGTCATGAAGCAGTACCAGCCAGAACAAAATGAATTACAAAATCCAAAGCAATTATAACAACCCCTGAAGATGGTGCGCGCGTTATCATAAATAGATTGATGGCTAATACAATAGTTCAGTTGGAGATCTGTAGTTGACCAGAACTAAGGATAGAAAATAGAAATTTATATGATGAAAAAAGTGATGGCAATCTGAAGCCCAACCACCGCTTAATTATCACCAGAGCTCATCAAGCCTTTATACGAACCACAAATGAGCCTGTGTAAAGTTATATATACAATATAAATATATCAAAAAAGTGCATGACAGGACCTTTGTTATGCATGCTACAATATAATATTCCGTATTATGGAAGGGAAAACTGTCAAATAAGTCCTCTTACTATCATCTAAAAGTCAATTCAACCCTCGCACTATCAAAACACCCAATCCAATCCCCCAACTATAAAAATACACTCAATCCTGCTTTTTAATCGGTTAGGAATCGGTAACCATGGTAGTTGATGGCGTGGCTGTTTATGTGAATTATTTTTTTCTTTTTTTGAAATGTTTTGTGACATGTCAGCAACATCCGGGTGAAAAAATTATTGGCACAACCCTTCTTCAACACCCGGTATTTTCAAGTTAAATTAATTCCGGGAGAAAAGCTTGAATCCTAAAATAACTTCCACACATCTTCTCCACTGTATAAGTAAATCTCTTACGAATGATTATACATATGTTTTCATTCCCACTCTTCTTCTGGTTCCTTTTCTGGGTTGGGGAACACCAAGTCACAAAAAGCAACCAAATTTCTCTGGCAGCGACGACTCCATTGAAGCATGGTCAAAATCCTCTGAAAATGAATCCGCACCGGATTTAATATTTGGTGCATCCAATTTCGGTGAAGGTGAAATAAAATATGGGCTCGCATTCTCCTATGGAACCCTCTTTTCCCCAATTTGCTATTCCTTCTCTTGATTATCAGCAGGCTAAGATACAATGAAGCAATCTGAAGTGGGAGTGGGATTTGAAGGTTTGGGTTTGTGGCAGAGAAAGCTTTGTGATTTTAAAATAATCCCTGCTCGAGTATAGGCAAAACCAGAAAAGTTCATAGCATGCAGCAACCTGTTTGAGAATATAGATCTTCGGATTATGGTTGCTGTGTCATCGGGGTTGTATAAAAAGAAGGGGAAATCTGCTATAGAGAAGAATCTGCGAGCTTTTTCAGTGCCAGCTCTGACGAGAGGTGAAGGGAGAGAGACAGAGGGGTCAAGAGACCGACCCAAGTCCAAAACTGAGTATAGTAGATCTGGAAAGCTTCATCGAAGCAAACGAGGCGCTCACCAGTACTTATGTTTGAAGTTCTATGATGGTGGGGATATATCACCAAAGTCCATAACCCTAAGAATTGATAATCTTACCTAGAAATCTTGCCTATTGGCTACTTATTCGCAGTGATAGAGAGACGAAAGAGAGGGTGGGTTGATAGAGATATCCAGACATATGCTAATCACAGAGATTATATCAAGAACACAAGCTGCAATTTCATTGAGAAAGAAAGTAATCGTAACAAGAAACTGGCTGAAGCCCCCAATGAGCCTAAGCCCCCCAAAAGAAAGAGATACTCTCGATCTTCCCAAGTCCCAAAGACAAATGTCTAAACAGCCTCCAATTACTCCCACTTTACATCTATTTATAGTATTTGAACTAACAAAATGTAGTTATTAGCTCAAACAGAAATATAACTATACTAACTCTTTTATTTAATATCCTAATAGGTCGGTCCCTATCAATACTCCCCCCCTAAACATCCACCTTGCCCTCAAGGTGGGTGATAGGAAACCGCTAGGATCTTCCGCTTCCTCTTCTTTCTTGCGCCTCTTCCTTCCCAATACTTGATTGGTTGATGGCTTTGTAGCTCCAGTACTTGAACCTTCCAGCTCACATATGTTTCTGCAGACTTCAGATTTTCTATATCCATAGATGTTTTCATGCTTTCCTGAGCTATAACACTTACAACATCAGCAGAATTGGTGTTCATGTCCTGAACATCCACTTTAATTTGCTCATCAGAATTGTGATTGACCTTCATAATGCTTTTCAGCAAAACAATGCCATCCTCTGTTGTACTTTGAGTACACCTAACATCATTCCACCAAACAGCTCCCATAGGCATATTCCATCTAGATCTTTCTGCCACTGCTTGTTCCTCAAAAGGAGAATCCATTTTTACCTGATTTCTTGAAACAAAGAGTGGAAAAACCCAAACTATCTTCAAAATTGCACCATCTTTGCTGGTATGAAGCAACACAGAAACCAAGCAACACTTTGTGGATGAGATTACAAAATTAGTTCCTTCTTCACCAAGTACATCAGCCATAATTCTTTGGTTCCAACCTTGCTTGTCAGATGAAGGAAGTTCACTTTCTCTCAAGGAGTTCCAATATTTGCTGCTGTTATTCCCACTGGAAGGATTGTCACAAGTGAGGGAACGAGTAATTGCTCCAGCTTCAGGTCCAAGATTAACTGAAGATTCCTCATGGCCTTCCTCTTCACCATAGGTTTGTGTCGCTTTCGTGTACGGTTGCTTCTGATTACCCAACTCCTGCTCCGACTCTAGGGATTCAGATAGATATTTCAAGCTGGAGTCTTCTGCTCGCATAGAAACCAGAGGTCCGGAAGAATTTACTGTCGAACTCAGAGGAGCAACTTGATGCGAAGAACGCGAACACTGATAATAGACTGTTGAAGTGGAATATTCTCCACTAAATCGCGTCTTTCTTGTACTCGAATTGATCGCGATTGAGTAAGTCTGGGAATGGCGAGACTTTGTTAGCAATTTCGACGGGTGAGAAAAAATTTGCGATTGCGAGTTAATAGACTGCGAACTAGAGGAAACAGTTCGCGACTCCTGCGAACTGGTTATCGCTTTGCGATGTGACGCGTCAGATGCATGTGATCTGCTTCGCGATGGACTCTGGACTCAATTCTCCAATTTTGTGAGAGTAACCTGCATAGCCGTCAAGCCTGTCAAGATCGCTATGTTCTGTTGATTATTTCTGTCCACTTCCTCCTCCAGCTTGTTCAATCGTATATCCATATCCGTTCGTGTCAAGACAATCCACAAAAATCGACAATTCTCTGATACCACTGATAGAGATATCCAGAAATATGCTAATCACAGAGATTATATCAAGAACACAAGCTGCAATTTCATTGAGAAAGAAAGTAATCGTAACAAGAAACTGGCTGAAGCCCCCAATGAGCCTAAGCCCCCCAAAAGAAAGAGATACTCTCGATCTTCCCAAGTCCCAAAGACAAATGTCTAAACAGCCTCCAATTACTCCCACTTTACATCTATTTATAGTATTTGAACTAACAAAATGTAGTTATTAGCTCAAACAGAAATATAACTATACTAACTCTTTTATTTAATATCCTAATAGGTCGGTCCCTATCATGGGTTCGGAAGGGGAGATGCCTGCGAGCCTGAGTCAAATGCTTCCCCACAAAACAGTAACATGGGGTTGCTGATGATCCCAAAAAAAGAAAAAGTGAAATACCCATTGACTGCCACGTCAACGACTACCGGGCTAACTGGTACTTCACCGGCTAAAAAACTGGATTGAATGTTTTGTAATGGCTAGAGGGTGTGATTGAGTGTTTTGATAGTATGGGGGCTTAACTGACATTTTGGCTATAGTACGAGGGCTTATTTGATAGTTTTACCTGGTATGGAAAGATAAAAAGAGCAATCAAGTAGAATAGTGAGGAGTAATAGTTGATTGATTTGCTTGATTGAGTTTATTATGATTTGATTTTAATACCTCCATTATTTAATCTATTTTAGGAAGTGATTTTATAGGATTTCCCTTTCCTTGTTTTCTGCATTCATATGGATGTAATCCTTCTTATAAAAGGGAGTTTTGCTATTCTAATAAAATATCAACAAAAAATTAAGAAGAAACCAAGGAGAAGGGAAAGCTCCCCAAATTTCCATAGCCCCTATCTATTTATCATTTATATTTCTTTCCCGTGACGCAAAAAGAATCATGGTACATGACATTTTGGTTCCGTTGTCGGCGTCATGGGAAATTTCACACTTCATGTTGATCAATACACACTCCTCTCAGACATACAGAAGGAGTTACACAAACCGATAAGCGAAGGGCATCTTCACAAACAACAAAATACAGTGCAAAAGGTGCAACAAGCACTGCCACCATTAAAGAAGTCGCTTCAGAAACATTCTAACCATATTGTCAACCTTTCTAAATCAGTGGACTCCTTGGGAGAAGATGAAGCACCCTCATCACTAAACACTTCATCTGCAAAATTCTGCCTCAACCGCTGTCAGCATTGCTTCCAACACAACATTTTCTAGAGCCAATGTTGTTTGCAACACCCATATTGCAGACTACCCTAAACAAACTTCTTGGACTTCCCCGATCCATTTTGGTCCACTAAGCATGTCCCAGTTTGCCATTGTATTCCAATGGAATGTTCACCTTAGCCCATGTTTGTCACGGCATTGCCTAGTCGCCGACTAGGCGTCCTGGCGTTAGGGACTGCTAGCCAGCTTCACTCGCCTCTCCAAAAGAAGAGAATCTGTGAATGGCGTCGTCCAAACGTCATCTAGGCACTAAGTTTTGCAAGTTAAACCGCAGTGGCGGAAGAATACTTTCATTCCCCTGTTTAAAAATAAGGGTGATGTACAAAATCGTGCCAACTATCGAGGGATTAAGCTTATGAGTCACACCATGAAACTTTGGGAGTGAGTGGTTGAGCAAAGACTTCAAAAAAGTGTGAAAATTTCGGAGAATCAGCTTGGTTTTATGCCTGGACGCTCAACAATTCAGACCATTCACCTTCTTAGACAAGTTGTGGAGAAGTATTGAAACACTAAACAGGATTTGCATTTGATGTTCATTGACTTAGAAAAGACATATGACAGGGTACCTTGAGAAGTCCTTTGGTGGGTCTTAACTAAAAAAGGCATATCACGTAACTATATCATTATCATGGATATGTATGAGGCTTGTACTACAAGTGTTCGTACTAGTGTAGGGAGGACCGCAGAGTTCCCTATTACAATCGAAGTGCACCAAGAATCGGCTCTGAGTCCTTTCTTATTTGATATAGTCATGGATGAACTTACGAAATCAATTACGAAGCAGTTGTCTTTGGTGTTCTTTTTAAATCTATGAATTAGGCAATATGGAGCACTTTTGTTTGTGAAAAATCTTTTTTGGATTTTGGCAGTGAAAAACCATCATT